TATATCTCGCGCAAACCACAGTATAATATCAATATCTAATATAATAATTTTGTCCACCTCAAACTGCCATACCGTTCTGGATATTTTTTTGAGCGTTCTTCTTCTCCTCTCACTTCAGCCAAACAGCTGCTTTTCACCAGTTAGTAAATATCATAGAATTGCCATACTAACAATCATAGCATATTTGTGTGATCCTAATTTCAAGTTATTAGTATTACGGACAAGCTGACCAACGAACTAAGCGGCAGAGTTCGGCAAAATACTTCGTCACATAGAGGGATCCTTGCACGTATTTTTTCTTTGTTCAATGATTGGTTTTTTAAATTAATGGTGTTATCTTAAATAAAGTTACACGAAGCAAAGGCTCATGCACAATTTCTCTGAATTATTTATTTTTTAAGCAGAAATCGGCATTCTGCACATAAAGTATGCGCCATTGAACTTGAAATATCACATTTCTAAACTCCGCCCTTTGGTTTGGTTTGTGAACACAAAACATTTCGTATATAATATATATATATATATATAGATTATTATATTACATATTAAGTGTAGTAAAAAGAAACCATTACCATATAATAAATAGATGACGTTATTTATCTGTATCTCGCGTTGTATAAGAGAAAATAGCTATATTTTACTTTTTTTCTTTGACAAGAGCGAAAACGCAAGGCGGCTGAAAATGTAAATAGCGTTTATGGTCCTGATGCTATAATCATAATTTTGGTTTCGTCGATTCCGTTCTGGTAATTTCGATGTCAAAGATGTATCATGCTCTGGAAGACCAATTATCGAAGAAAACGATCAAATAATGGAAATCACCCAGTCCAAACATCGATTACGATTGTCCAGGACCTAAACATTGCACAAAAAACCGTTTGGAACCATTTCGATAAGGCTGGATACGAAAAGTAATAATTAAAGCATTCAATTTCATGCAAAAGTTATGGTTTTCTTTTTACTACACCTAATATAATTTACAATACGCACAGCAACTTTTTCGCGTAAATTTACGAGATATTGTTTTCACACTAAAAATAATGATTGGAAATTGGACCTTCCGAACGGATCGACACAGGCACAGTCACGGTTAACATTTGTATGAAAATATTTTTCAAAATTTATTGGACGCTTTAAAGTTAAGCTATATATGGATATAAGAGCTCATGTCATGTATATTCCTAAACTGTTGAACCGATTTTAGTAGAATTCATAACACTGTTTCCAGTTTGGTCAAAATTAAAAGATTTTATATTTTTTATCTCAATTATGTTAAAAGTCGAAACAATTCATAAATAAAATAAATAAATGTTTTTCTAAACATAAGGATTTGCTCAAAAGTAAAAAAAAATTTGATAATTTTAATGTTTTCAATTCAAACACAAATATTTGTATCAATAACTTTCAAAATTAAAACTCAAGCACAATTCGTAAATAATATTTTCACTGAATTGAATAGTTTATTATAATGTTTAGTATTAAATATAACCATAACCTTAGCAGTACATGGCCAGACCTACTAGTATTTATATATAATCTCCGACATCCACTTTAGTTTTAGGTGTTTCATTGAATATTTTAGACGAATTACCTAATCTAGTACAACATCTATAATATTTATTTATGTTGTTATACCTTATTATATAGTATGTCATTATAGAAGTAACAAATTTCGCGCTATGAATGGAATTTAGAAAAAAGTTGATCCTGGTCACTTTAAAACATACTTTACAATCCTTTTGGTTTCAACTCTGAACGATGTAGTACAGACAAACACCACTCAAGCCCAAAAGCACAACATGAACTTGGTAAAGTAAAGTGGTGGCGAATAAAATGTGTATTGGGTGGACAGGAATTAAACTTTGTAACAGAGGACTGTGTATGTGCGAACTTTAGGCTAAACTTTAATATTGAAAAATTATCTTTTAACAGTAAATGCCACAATTATTTTATTATTTATTATTCTATGTATTAGTGCTACTCATTTAATGTCTTAAAATTGTGGCTAGGGATGGGCCCATTTAATTCATAATCGCTACAGGACTCCAATTTCGATTTTATATTGTGACGAACACGACGATAGAACAAAATCGAATCGACGATAAATTGCCAGAAGAAACTAGACCGCGAATTCGTAGTTGCCAGAATGTTCTAGAGACGAAGTTTTGTTACACGGCTTTTACACACAGACTCTTTTGACCCTCGTTTTCGTCAAATTCTCTTTTGGTGTCCCTCTATACATTCACACGAGCAAAAAGAGTCCAGCAACTCGAGTCTAGTTTTTCTGCATTCCTTTTCACAAAATTTTCGTAAATATTTATGCGGTTCGACTGCGCCACACTTAGAGCGTGTTGCATATTTCATTTGTATGTTGGGATGATGGTCGCACATTTTGCTTGCAATAAATTACCATGAATATGGTAGAACAATATGCATAATACAAGTACCTACCCGCTAAATAGTTTCAAAGAAATACTTAAGACGGGAATTCCCTAATCCACCAGAATGTATTGAATACCCGCTACTAATATTTTCAAGGCCAAATTTATAACAGGAATTTTCTAATCTTTAAGTATTAAAAATTCATAATTTTTTTACTCCATATTTGTGTCTATTTATTTTAATTACTAATTACAGTTTTCGTTTTAAATAAAATAATATTTGAACTAACTCCTTTGCGTTTAAAAGAAATAAATATGAAAGCATCTTAATATTTTATGTTAATATAAAAAAAAAGTTACCATTTATATTAGAACTATTTTATGTATACTGGTACATTATTACATTTAATACCGCTATATGATATTAAAAATGTAAATTAAATATTTTTGAATATCTTCTTTCTTCTTATTTACAATTTTTCATACATATTTGCATATTACATACAAAAAATAGATAACAGAATTCAAATTTGTGAACGAGTTCACCGGTTTAGGTTACAAAAGTGTCTGTGTGTAAAAGCCGTGTTAAAGATCTGCTATATAAGGGCTGCCAGATTGTACAGCACACACATTTCTAGTTAGAGTGTTGTCGTGTTAAAAACAATTGAGATATAAGCAAGAAGAATTAGAAATAAAGATAAGTTTATAGCCATTAGATTGGGACTTTTATTTAACAATCCAGTGATCGAACTCAAGAGTGAATTATACTATGTTCGCACCGACAAAAAACTCGTGTTTTCATAGACAAAAGAGATTTTCACGCGAAAACTTGTGTTTTCATCCATACAAAATCTGTCAAACGAAAACACAGTTCTCGCTGAAAACCCCTTGAAAACTTACATTCCACTCATTATAATCGGTGTCTGCTCTAGTTTAATCGATATTATTATAAGACATATTTTGCCAGCCCTAAATGTCAGTTGACAATTTGTTTACATTCCATAATTGGCCTAAACGTACCCTACAAGAAACTGCTGATGGGTTCACCAATACTCTCACATACATGATATGTCAGTACTGTTAATTTACATTTACATTTTTAAATTCAGAGCTATCCACAGATTGGAGAAAGACGTACGCAGAGCTATTGAGAGGAGGGGAGGCATCAAGTGAAAATTAATTTTTATATTTTCATATTTTATTATATTTTTTGTTGCATTCCTTTTTATATTTAAGTATATTATTATAGCTAATTTTGATTAAAAGTTTGAAATTTATGAAAGAAATAAAAATTATATTATCTACTGCGCAAAAGAATTTTTCACTTCTGATAGCGTTTCAGTCATAACTGACAATTTTCAGCTATGACGAATTTATGGTCAGCAATGACTCAGAAAAAACAAAACAAACAAACAAAAAGAAAACAAGGCTCTTAAGGAAATGATAGAAACTTTGTTCTGCGCGCTGACAAAATGTTTTCAGCTATGACTGTCATATTACCCATCAGATGACCATCACTGTTCTTGTAGTGTACATAACAAATGTAAACAAATAGATGTGTGAACTGTCAATGAAAACTCATCGAAAACACACAATGTCGGTCAGAACAACTTTGGTTCCACAATACACAAATTGTGTTTTCAAGAGGATTTCAATTCGGTGCGAACATAGTATAACCGTAAAATCGAATATTAAGAATCGACTCTTCATCGATTTCGGAAATCAAAGGACAACTCCGAAAAATTGATTATCGAGTAGATTTGGAATTCAGTTTGACATCCCTACATACATATATTATATAATAATGTAACGGATTTCTCGATACATCGTCTACCCTGTAACTTACTCTTGAGTTCGATCACTGGATTGTTAAATAAAAGTCCCAATTTAATGGATATACATTTATCTCTACTTTTAATTCCAACCACTTAATACTTCTAATATATAGTTCAGGTCCCCCCACGAAGGCGGCCTCGTTAAATACTTACTTTTCCTTTGCAAAAATTCTTTTTGTGCTAAAAAAATAAATAACTAACGAAAGAGTTTTCAAGTTTAAAATAAAATTATATTTTTAGTTAATTTTAATTTTTATTTACGCATTTTTAAATTCGGAAATATTCATGAACTGGAGAAACACACACACACGTACAGCAGAGCTTTTGAGAGGAGCAAGCATGGAATTAAATGAAAATTTCTTTCCATATTTTATTATTTAATTGTATTTTTGTTACACCTTTTTTATATTTATGTATATTATTATAACTAATTTTATTTGCAAGTTTTGAATTTATTAAAGAAATAAAAATTATATTATCTACTGCGCAAAAGATCTTGTGATAGATTTACTGTTATGACTGACAATTTTCAGCTTTGATGCTTTTATGATCTATAGTGAATCAATTGAGAATACCCATGTGTTAAAAAGAGATGCAAACTTACAGACATACGTTTGTTTACATCAGGTTTTGCACAAGGCTCTTAAGAAAATGATAGAAACTTTGTTTTGCGCGCTGACAAAATTTTTTCTGGTCAGATGACTGTCACTGTTCTTGTAGGGTAGTCTAACCCACATGATTATGAAAATTAAAAAAAAAAATTAAAATAAAACATTTCTTGCTGTTTATGCTGTATATGTTTATTTATTTCTTTGAGAGCAGCAAACACGATATTTGAGTAAACACAGTTTTTTACATGTATTCTGCATAAGTATAATTGCTAAAAAATATCAAATTTTATATTCCTGAACTGGTACTCATACGAATAACTCTTTCGTCTACTCAATAATCTCGTGCATTAACTACTCATACTTACTTGAGTAAATATATATGCACATATACATATAGACATCGAGTTGGTACAAGGGCACTTAAACATTAAGGTTAGTAATTTACAAATATTTGCTGGGTATAACAATTAATTTAATACCATTTCTTATACTTTGCACCGCAGTCATTCGCTTGTACTCTCTCTCTCTCTCTCTTTCTTCAATGCGGCAACGCATTGTCCATCTGGTTCCATACACAGTGAGTGGTTAAGCTTAAATTTAACAATTTGACTAGTTGAATTATTTTCCACATAAATTATTTTTCCATTTAGTTGATAATTTTCTCTCTTCCATTGCCAGTAATAGTCTCCGATCGAAAGTGTCGCTATTTTCATTCATGTTTCAAATGATTTAGTTGTCGCTAATTTCTATGGTTTCTATTTCTTACTTTCTCTGTTTCATCTGCATCTTTTCGGGTTTCCTTGGAATTTTCATGTTTACGTACAAATATACATCACATCTACAAGTATGTATGTACGTAACTACGTTAATACGTTAGCATAGGTTTTTACATTATTGTTAGTTTTAGCGTGTGTATGTATATTTAAGTGCACGAAGTTCGAAAATATAATTGAAACTTTGTGTATAATTTTAGTTAGTTTCTTTAATATTATATTATTAAAGACAAATGTATTTTCGGTAAAAAATAAACTTTTGTGATGCTTAGGTTTTGAGTATTATCTTGTGTTAGAGGGCTAACATACATTTCTGCTTACTGCTTGTTACAAATAAAGTATCCATCTTAAATTCTAAAAAATGCCGTAGGGCTCTTAAACTAATTGTTTACTATTTACAATGTGGTTTTACATATAGATTTATATTTTACTTCCGTTATTTTTAAGTCAACGAAAATATTGTATACTGTCAATTTGGAAAAATATAAACATTTTCCTTAATTTTTAAAATATATACAAGTACAATTGAGAATGCCTTTGATATCCTCATTTTTCGTAGGCGTATCAGTCAGTACTTTGTTAAAGGTAATGAAGGAATTTGAGCGCTCCATGATAAATGCCTATTTTTTAACACAATTCCACTTCCGTTAATTGTAGTGACCGAAAATACTCGCGCCTCGCTTGTTCTCAGCAAAATATTTGTGGTTTTCTGCAGTGGATTCGCCGCAGTGGTGGATATGTAATTCTTTTTGGGTATCAGTTTATAGTGCGCTACTTTCTGAACGCCTTGCTGTTGTTTTATTTAAGGAATATCATTTAAATGAGTCATTAGGCTTATGTAATATGTTTGTAATTATTTTAACATTTAAAAAATATTTTGTAACTTCAGTTTGGGCACTTTCGAACACTTATTGCATTGTTTCTGCTTTAGTTTTTACATATTTTTTTTTTTTTAATATTTTTACTTTAAGTAAAAAGTAAATGCCTTTAGGATTTGCGACATTTAATGCAAGATAATTTTTTTAAAAGCAGTTCTCTTGATTCTTTCAGTTATTTGATGTCTTTAGTTTGTTTATCTTATTTTGTTTATTTGTGGTTTATATTTGGGTTTCCTAAGTTAATTACTCGATATTCGATATATCTCAAATTACACCTTGCTTTCAGGGCAGTCAGCGACATGTTTAAAAGCCAAGCGGACTTTTGATAAGTAAAGCGAGCAAATGTGTCCGTAACTTTTATTGTACCACTCGGGTGTCCGGCCCCTGGAAGAAGTTGATGTTAACACAATTTTTTTTTTTTAATTTAATTGAATATTTGTAATATTTACTTATAGCAATCATTATTTTACTCACTTGACATCCACCCGCGTCAAATGCATAACGCGTGAACGCCCACTGCCGCAGGGCTCTATCAAATAGCGTGAAGCCAACACAACACCCCTAATGGCGCCGAACATCGGTTTTGCCTTTGCATGATCGATGGAGGTTTCTACAATAACACATGCACCGCGGGGCAGATCAGTTGTTTGCCATGAACTGTACAAAAATGTAAAAATATTTGAAATCAATATTTTCTATATAGGCCTTTTAGTCTTACCGTAGCACACAGAAATCGGTGGTGAACTGCCCGTCTATAGCATATTGGAATATTTCCGTTGTGGCGTCCAATTTCTTAACAGTTTGACTCTCCAGCAAGTTCGAGTCCCACGAGGCGCGCTGCTTGATGATATAGTCTAAGACCTCTTTAGGAGGGCCTTCGACTTCAGTGGTACAGCGCCACAAACGCAAAGGGTGGCCGTCGCCAACTTTCTTGTAGGCAATGTCCACGTTGCTGTCATTTTGTGAAGAGATCGTGAACCAGCCACGAGTTCTACAAAACAAAGAAGAGAACATCTCAAACTAATATTGGATTTAATATACTCTGCTACACTCACTTCTCTCTACCCTCCTTGATGGTCGCCTTGGTGCATTCATACAGATATCCCCGCCAATTATGGAACTGCATGCCCTCGCCCAGTGCTTCCAAAGGTACTGGTTTCGACTCTTCCATGTAGCCGAAATTGCATTTGCTTATCTTTTCTTTGCTCGCCGTGAAGATTTGTTTGTAGTTTTCAATCATAAAGGACAGGCATTCGTGTGATGCTTTAGCCTCTTGTAGTTCCTTATCGTCTGGCACACCGGCACCCTTGCGCCTCCTGGGTGAAGCTGAAACCGAGGCTACACCAGTCGAAATAGTACTATGAAAGAGGGATGGCGCCAGGCAAACCGCCAAATTATTTGCTGTCATCTGATTTTGCTCCGCATTGGCTGCCACTAGCATCAAGAACTCTAGCAATGCGTAGAGTATTTCGCGATTTTCGTCCGGTAGTAGAAGTACCGCGCACTGTACTGCTTCTAAACGCACGTCCTTAGGGAGATCTGCGAAATGAATGAATACACAATATTATCGCATAATCCTATTTTCGTAGACATCAATTTTTTGCAACATACGTTGGAAAATCGCTGCAAATGTTTCGGACATCTTGGTGGTGAGCAACGATTCGGGGAGATCGCGGAAATACTGTTTCAACATATCGGCTACATCGTAAGATTGTTGCGTGTCATACACTTCCATGCAAAGCGCCGTGGAATCGAGTTGTTCCACCTCTGACTTTAGCTTGATAATGCGGGACTTGACACCACTTTTGCGGAACAGTCCGATCTGATCGAGAGCACGCACCTGTAGCCAACGGAAGGCTGCTCGTATCGCAATCGGCAACGTCTGCCCGGTGCGTTGTAATACCAGCAACAATGGTACTCCGAATACTTTCTTGTCTTTGTAGTCGGGCATTTTGATTTTCTTAATAAACTTGGGCAGCTCCCAATTCCAACCGGAGCGATGTGTTGGACAATAGCGCTCCATATAACCGGTAAGTATGACCAATGCAAGCTTGCGTAGAATGTGAAGTTGGCCTGCCGACATAGCCGCAAATGGAATACCATGATTGTTCATATTAGGATCAATCTTTTGCGAGAAACATTTCCGGAAGATCATGTGTGGACGCTCATCCATCTGAAAACTATGCCATCGCACAACCGGGGTACTGATGTATGTTTGGAGAAAAATATAACTAAGTAAACACGCTCTTTCCCATTTATGTAATTAGTGACTTACCGTTTGATATTTTCGGCTTCCTCAGGCTTGGTTTCTTTACGTGAGGTGGAACGCGAGCGGAAGCTCGCTGACCGGAAACCCTCTCGTTTCTTAGGATCCTTACCTAAATTGAGTGAGCCACCGCGTGTCAGTTTCCTGACTTTTATCTGTGTAAAATAAAAAAGTATCATAGAAACCAGTTTTACTTTGCTCACATAGAAGTTCACTTACCTCAGTGTTGTTCGAATTGGCGTCCTTTATTAGTAATTTTCTACCGTGATGACATTCGGAGTCTGAATGTGCCCCTATATCATCTACCTTTCCGGTGCGTTGCAAAAATCTGCGCGTTTTTGATGGAGTCTTACGCAGTGATAATTTACCACCTGCGGACGATTCTTGGCTATCGCTGTAGTATGAAGAAGAATCATCTGACTTGCCCTCCTTCAAATGTGGCATTGGATTGGAAAAAAAATGTAGTGGGCTGGCACGCATCGAGCGTGGTGTGGTTGGTGTACGCTTGGGACTCGCTCGATTCGGACTGAGAAAAGTTTCACTTTGTGATGGTACTTTCAGTTCATTTCCAAACATCGGGCCCTTCGGGAATGTGTGCATAGGGCTGACCGCTGATGGTGAAGGTGGTGTGGAATATACAGCATCCGGTTTACGTATGCTACCGCGCTGGCCAAGTTGTGACAAATCCAATGCTTGTGGACCACTGATAACAATACCCTCGCGGTTTTGACGCTTTCGTCGCCGAGATTTTATCGACTCTACGCGTCGCAGGAATGCTTTGGCACCATCCTTAAAACGTTCACTACCAGTGCGTCGCAAACGTACCGCTGCTGAATCGGTCGATTCATTGAGGATGGAGTCTGTGGAATTACCAGGTAGGGTAAGCGAAAGGCCACCACCGCCAGCCATGTCGTAACTGTCATCTTCAAAACGATCCGGACTGGACTCTTTGGATGAACTTTCTGTCTTCTCGATATTTAACTTACCGGCGGGCGGCAGTTCAAGACCCATTTCGCCGATGCGCGACCAACGACGTATATGCGGCTGGAATGTCCAATTCTCGCTAAGCGCACAATTCTCATCATCGGAGTCCTCCTTCTGCTGGGATGAATCGTACGTGATTGAGTTGATGATTTGTTGTACTTTAAGGGGTAATTTAGAGAGGGAAAGTTGACAAACCTGCGGCGTTTGCGCCTTGTGTGCTTGGTCGAGGCGCATGTTGGCACAGCGATTCAAAATACAGAGACGTCGGTAGAGTGATTGCAGTTGATCATTTTCTAGATTGGTGTGATCCTTGGCCACGTTAGTCAGGTCGAGGGGGAACTGATGATCTGCAGAAAGGAAGAAACATATTTGTATATTAAAACTTGATTAGTTGTAACGATATATAGTCGATAATTTAGGCGACCTGTAAGTAAAGTAAAATTCTTGACAAATATTTAAAGCAACGAGTCCTGGCTGACGTATATAATTCAGATGTCTTGTACTTATAAAACTTGTTTCATTGCTTTACTGACAAGCGTCTATACGACACCTAATGCAAGAAAAGCACCCAAAAGCAATGTTGCCTGCAGCGTTCACAATCAGTGAATGAACAAATTTCAAACGCTCCTCGATTGCCCACTACATTTCCATAGGCAAATAATATACATAAGTTGAAATTAAATATGGGAAATAAAGAAAAATTGTAAATCCAATGTAAGATTGCCAAAACCACCATCCGCCCATTCCCCGGTTCGCGGCTAGCCAACGGAACGTACGGCTACGCTGTGGACCAAAGTAACAAACGCGGACGAAAACAAACATGAAATTTGACATTCCGTTTCCCACCAGACTGCCGACTGACTCTTCGCTGTTTCGTTTTGGATGTAGGCAATCAAGTTCTACGTGTCATCGAATCACTTTTCGATCGCTCTGATATTACGTCGGCCGACTGAGCGGCGACAAGCGGGGAGAAGTAAAGCTAGTCGGTTTGATTAGTAAGTTGCTTAATGGCGTCTTGTTAAATTTAGAGAACTTGTGGTGAGAAGAATTACTTCTCAGCATAGCCACACATACCTATACACTTACGTACTTCCACAGAAGCTTCATTGATGAAAGGAAGTGCGAACCAGTAAGAAACTTTTAAGGCGGCTACGGACGTGCCAAGGAGTGTGTCTGTTGGTGGTTCGTGGGCATTGACGCATTGCTGCACTGTAAAAACTGCTATGACGCGTTGCGTTGCGGCGCCTCCGCATATTGCACTGGTGTTAACGACACTAGCGGACCCAACAGAGCGACGGGGTAAATTATTGACAGCAATTTTATTCGAATTGTCGACAGCGCGAGCGTTGTTTATTCAGATTTCGCCATAAGAATGACACAGTGAATGAGTGAGTAAGTGTAGTGAACTCATACATCGAGCTGAGGAAAACTTAAACACATACCATATGTACTTATACTTACATATGTACAATACTTATGCCTTCGAAAGCACATATTTATAATTATTTTAGAAATCGATAGTGGAGAATTGTTTTCTCTGCAAACTAAAGGAAATGGCCTTAAAAAATATGCTATTCTAAATTTAAATCTTTGTACTATCGGAAAAATATTTACATCTTTAAATATTATATTTATTTATGGGAGCTTTCATATTAAATTTGGTATAATCGGAAGAACTTAAAAGTGGGTCAAGTACAAGTGTGGACAATTAAATAGAGTCAAATAATTTTTTATTTATTCTTTCTTCTGTTTGAGTTGTCTTTATAGTTTGCAAGTGACATTGAAAAATAACTTTATTCATGTCTAGTATCCATTTTGGAGTTTAGTTCAACACTCTCAATCATAAATCGCATTAATTTTGAAGTTTAGAAAACAGCAACAATACTATTGTATATAGTTAATAGAAGCACAAAAAGTTTAATAGTCAAGCAAATTTAAGAAAGAAAGTTGACAGCATTGCAGAAAAATGTTCGATAGTTCTTTGTTTTCGGCAGGTTGAACTTCATGATGGGCACTTTCGATACCATATCTGTAGCGATTAGACTTTTGCTCCAATATAGGCCCAGTCACGGCGATTATCTCTTAATTACGTTTTCCAGCGGGCATGCTATTGGGGTCAGAGGACAATAAACTGCCACTGGGAGTCAGATCAGGAGTTTACGGTGGATGTGGGAGCTATTTAAAGCCAAATTGATGAAATGTTGCAAATTATTTTCATAAATTTCTGATACGGTGAATTGGTCGATCATGTGATCACATGGCTACCCCGTACGTACATGAACGATATGTCTAAATACGTACCTATGATATTTTAAGGGTGAATGTGATCGATCTCGACCAACTTCATTTTACGATCATCTAGACTAGATTTTGTAAGGTTTTCTGATGTTACTTTCCTAAATAAAAATGAGATTTCCCATGAGATCCCTTGTAATTAATGTTTTTTTTTCAAAATATAAAAACGTGCGTCCTTTAAAACGATTTTCGAAACAAATCTTCGACTACTATAAACACAAATACACTCTTCCCAGTCAATCTATTTCCTCACGTAGCCATGAATAGCTTATCTCAAAAAGAATATTTACTTCAGTGTACCGAGCAAGTCCATATGACATTGTCTTGTAGAGTCTTCAGTACCAAAAGTGGCTTCTTTGCCTTTACGCTTTAAGCCATCATTTATCGGTAAGAAAAATTGACTGCGGCCACAGCTATCAACGGACACTTCTTCTTAACTCCCCAATAATAAAAGAGCGAAAATTAATTAGCTTATCACTGTGTTCAAAGTGCAATGCGCATGCGTACGCCGTACGACGTACCTGTTAGCGGTTAGCCGCTGGACAATCGTTACTTATTAAAACAAATGGTCGCACATCAGTTGCATGATTAAACCAATTTGCAAATGTGCTTCAAAGTCCGCGCGTGCAGCCAACGGACGAAACAACTTTGCAGCGACGAGAGTGAATAATGACCGCGACATTGGGAGATTCAAGAGGGGAGGCCACCAGGAGAGTGACACGAACTGCAATAAAATTTAAAGAAAATAAGCGACACACAATTTTGAACTACCGCCCAGATTTCAACAGAAGACCACATATATGACAGTTGAATGGGACCCGACAAGGATTAGGTAAGCAGATTTCACAGTGCAGAATGAGCGCAAAAATTACGAAACTACAAGAATTTCATTAAAAATCAGCATTAATCATTTTGGGTGTGGGGCGAAAATAAAAAGAATTGACTCCTGCGTAAAAAACAAAAAGGAAAAACTCCCGACACGTCTGGCTCGTATTCTTCGCCGCAACGTCGTTATAAAAGATACAAAAAGTCGAATCACGAAATTTATGAGAATATGCAAACCCTTTCAAGGTCAACCACACAAACAACCAAACACAGCAAGGCTATAGCAACATGTCAAATATAAGAACTGCTGCATGCAACAAGTCGCCGTGCATGCTGCAGTCGGCATTGAAACTTTTGAGTTCGATTCATTCGTGAAAGGGCGCAACCGAATGGAATATAGCATAAATTTAAATGAGAGCTGGTAACTTCGAAAAATCCAATCCCAGTGGCTTAAGGCTCAAGTGGCGAAGTATGGATGGCAGCCAAAACTTGCAGCATATAGAAGGCAGGGCACAAAAAGCGAAAGCCCGTTGCTTGCAATTCAGATTCGCCTTTTTTCTTGCGGTGGCGCTATATGAATTTGCATTTAGTCAGCACGTAGCAGCAGTCATTGAACCTCTGGCTGCCAGTGCGGCAACATTGGTTTTAGAGCTTTATTTGGTGTTTTTGGGTTTCACGCTTGATATAGAAATGAATTATTGATCTCTCTAGTGCGTTACTAATAATTAAAACTGGCTGGCTGGATACTTATCTGATCAGTTTTTTTTTGCATTTTTTTTCAAGTTCCTTTTCTTGATAGTTTACATATGAACCTGTAAGTGAAGTCTGCCCAAAGTTTTTTATTTCTGAATTTCTTCTTTTGGGTCTTATTTTCGCGATTGAGAATATACTTTCAATAACTTAATAACCGTTCTTAAGTTGGTCACATTTTCATACTAAGTAAGTTTAAGTAAAAAGCCTATATCAATTTAGACAAGTATCAGAAATAGCTCTACGGTAAGGTTGGTGGTTTTGAAATTTAGAGATTTACACTTCTATTATATATGGCAATTAATTTGCGTTTAGTGCTTGCTATTATCTTGTTGTGGTAACCGGCAATTATGTATATATCAGTTGCCCTCCATAATATTGCAATAAATTTCAAGCACAAAGTTTTTTTATTGCGATTTTGCTTATACTCAAGTTTAGCGACTTTCATTTGCATGTTTTCGCTATCAATTCTATTCTTCCTGTCTCTAAACTGTTTTCGTGAATACCTGAATAACAAACTTTCAGTAAATTTCTTTAAATGGTCAAAGAGGTCCTTAGCTAAATTTCTATTTTATTTTGCAAAATATTACATATTTTGCAAGGTTGTCGCCTCGTGAGTGCAGTCGAATGTTAATTTAGGGCTGCTTTACAAGAAGTATAGGTTTTTGTTTGAAATGTGCCACACGCGCTTGCGCAGATGCCTTGAAATGTGATATTTAATTGGTCGGTTGAACAAGCAGATGGAAATTAATAAACAACGACAATACTTAGTATTCCGTATTATCATTGCGCTCTCGGGAACAACCATACAAATATTTTCTAAGTGAACTTTAACTAGATTCTACAGACTTGATTATATTCGTATTGCGAAAAGGATTTGCTTCAATTTGAATAGTGTAGCCCAAATATTTATTTATTTATTTTTTATTTTATTCCTTCTTCGAAATCGCTTAACCTTTTTTTGTTTTCGTTTTCATCGGAATTTCTGCACCAGAATGGTAACGACAATTTCATGGATTTCTCTTTTTGTGTTAAATACTCGAAAACTGTCAGCCCTATTATAGGGTGATCCATTTCGAGGTTCCCTTCTTTTTTAAAGAAACACAGGAAATTCAAATTTAATGACAAATGTTAATTATCATTAGAAAGAACATTTTTTGCATTTATTTTTTGAAGATTATCTCCTTCAAATGTTGGCCGCGGCTACGTCTCAGATGGTTCATCCGTTGAGTCCAATTGTCGATTACTCGTTCGAGATTTCGACTGGTAACTGGAATGACACGCGTGAAGTGTTGCTCCAAGGTCTGAGTCGAAACGGAGTTGTCCGCATAGACTTTAGACTTTACATATCCCCACAGGAAAAAGCCTAACGGTGTGATATCACAAGATCTTGGTGACCAATCGACCGACCCAAAATGTGAAATTATCTGTTCACCGAAGTGTTTCCTCAATAAATTCATTTATTGATGCGATGTGTTGTTGCCAAATGTCGCGGAGATCATGAGCTTCAATTTCAGGCATCGAATAGTTGGTTACCGTAGCGCGATACAGTCGCCATTGACGGTTACGTTCTTACCGTCATTATTTTTGAAGAACCAAACCGTGGTTTTTTCCCTGATAAAATGGCAGCTCTTAAATCTCTTGAGGTTGCTCGAAAACGTTGGATCTTCTTGGAACTTTTCAAGAGTCCATAGAGCGAAGCGATGTTGCTTGGGAAGGTCGAGCGGCTTCAGTTCTTGCACAAGCTGTATTTTGAACGCTTTCAATTTAAGATCTCGATGTAAAATTTGCCAAGTCGTTCCATACGTCCGAATCGACTCTCCATGGTCTTTGTGTACACTCTCAGCTACGGACGCTATCGAATATGATCCAATAATGAATGCGGCGTCTCCAGATGGGTGATGGTGTTGCGAATAGTATGCTCAGTAGGCCGATTATGGTGACCATAAGTTGAGCGAAGCGCGCGAAACACATTCTTTACAGAACGAGAAATTTCGTAATAAAGTTGAATTTGTGAATTTTTTAACGTTGTTCAGGCGTAAGTCTTTAAATGATGAAATGCTAAACAATACTGAGCAAAATTAACATGACAGCTTGACACGACTCATGCGTGATCTGTCAAAAACAGGCTACTGAAAAAGGTATCTCTACTTGGATCACCCGTTAAATACTTACCATCAAATCTTAGCGTGAAAGATGCCGTGCGCCGGAATATCAGGCTTATTGAAATAAAAAGAATATAAAATCGAAGGTGTGACTGCAGAGCAAAGTTCTATATACAATTTATTTAACTTGAGCCTCTAAGAAAAAAAAGTCAAATATTTTGTTTAAGAAAGACAAAGAATAAACTCGCTGATTTCTTTCGTATGCGTATAGTATTATAATCACTAATTCTAGAACGCTGAGAGGTCATTTAACTCGACAATCAGTTAGCGCGTTAAGCAATTTAGACGATTGCATAATTGATGCATTAAGCAATAAATTAAGTGTTGCCATACTACACATACATATATTCTTTGATACTAGCGCTTGGAATAGCTGTTTCGTTTGCTTTAACTTTTAATTTTACTTTATAAAACAAAAGCTTTCTGCCAGAATTTTTGACGTCAATGTGTACTTTAATAGTATTTTAATTTACTGATTTCATTCGTCAAAAAAATACCAGGTACATATATACCATGTACTCGTATGTGCTGCTTTTGTTTGATGTAAAGCTTCAAATTTGGGTTAACACCGATCAGTTTATTTCTACGGGCACATTAAAATAATTATAGTCTATTAAGATTTTATATTCCGCTGTTATTTTCGTTAACGCCTGCTGCCGATATCGCTTCAGGGAAGGGACTGGTTTACTATTACAAATTCCAGACTAAAATTGAGCTAGTCCGAAAATACTAATAAAAATTGCGAAATGAAAGTACAAAAAGGTCCCGATTTGTACTAATTATATAAATGTTATTAATAATACTTTTTATTAACCAACTTTGACATGGGTTTTTCGGTTTTAGCTCGTTTTTGGATCGCCATTTCCTCGATTTTTGGACAGTTTCGACAACATAATCATAAACCCACGTCTCGTCCCTAGTCATGATGCTTTTCATCAATATTAAAATTATATCCAGGTAAATGACAGCTTTGAGAAAGAAATAATTGCCTCTGCTGCATCTTTTTGATACACTTTTGCTTCATTTTGAAGTGAAAGTGTTTGCTGTTGTAAAGAATGCCAAAATTTATTTTGGATCATTGCCAAAACACACTCACACTTTTGCACTGCCTTATTACTTTTATATTTTTTATTTATTTTTTTCACTGCAAGCTCTCATTATCATTTGTTTATGTGTATCTTTCACTTGTGGTTTTAACTGTTTTCACGTTTGTTGTCAACTTATTTTGTTTTTTATATATGTGGGGGTGAGGGGAGGTATGTGGTTTAATGTTTAACAAGAGTGTAAGTTGCCAAAAATTGCGGTTATTACAAGCTGTCAGAAATGTGGCAACAATTAATTACCAGATGTCATAAACATACATCTGTTATCTGTCACAGGCTGTGTCGACACTTTTCATTACCTGCACCTAACTGCTGCAAATGGGCATAAAAACTTGCAACTCCTTTCGCTTTTTTAGTTAACGCTCTCAACATTTTCATTTATAAGACGAGTGCAGAACCAACATTACTAACTATGTTATCTTTATGGTTCAAACTAGTCAGGGGTGTTGGGAAATCTAAGACAGATTTGCATGGTGTGAGAATTGTAAACCAATTTTGATTTTCAATGGCGTCACATAATCTGATTAGACTTTCGTCTTTTTGAACATACGCAAAACCAATATTCGAATCAGTTTTTTTACTAATATGACAACACTTGCAAATGAATAAACTTGGAAGCGTTTGATAAATTCCAAATACTGAATATAGTCTATTAAAGCTTACAATTTGTTCCGCTAATTTAATTTTAACTGATTGAAAGAAAAAAGCAGCCAAAATGATTTATAGCACATTAGCGACTGAATAAACTCGCATTTGGATACTAAATTACGTTTATTACGTTTTGAAAGTCCTCTTAAAATATCTGGATTTTTTCCTTAAAATCAATAAATATGACCTTCTGTGTTATATGCTTATGTTTTCCCCTACAGAAGTAAAGATAAATTAAATCGTAACAATAATATAGGTTAATTTTTTAACTTACATTTCAAATCTGTCAGCGACTATTCTCTTGTTTTGTTTCTGATATTAAAACCGATAAAAATGGTGACACCCAAAACCGATACAATATATGTTTCGAACGTCAAACCAATTATATCTGTACTGCATTTTTTATGGGTTTCAATTCTGATTCCGACAACTATCAGATTCTGCAACACCCCTGAGTATTATGCGCAGGCGTGTAGACTCTTTTTATTTAATTATAAGTATCTCTTATATGGAAATATTTGTTATACACAAATTATATGTATACATCGTATAACACTCAGTTCACACTCACCTTCATACATTTGCGCATATTGCGGGAAGCCGGCAGCACGCAGCCATTTACACGCTTCAACGGCCTCGATCTCTGCGAAGGAGAAAAAAATCATTTATTAGTAATCAGAATACACGAACGAGTATATGATCAAGTAAAAGTTTAAATGACAAACACGAAATACAAAGAGTTTAAAAGCTATTTAGTGTGTCCCTTAATCCTCAACGCGCAGTTTGCGAACGCCCACGCATTTTTTATGTGCTCCGTATACCATAATTAATTTAATATTTAACTCAATTGCACTGTTGAGCGGATGTGTCTGCAAAAATATCCCCTTGAAATTTCGACTGGAAATTCGCATTGACCGTTGCTGAAATGCACAATGACTGCAGTGGTACGCTGTCTTTTAGCGGGGCAATTTGTGGATATAAATTTAATTAGTTTTGATTATTTTCAGGATATTGTATGTACAGCAGGCACAAGAGAGTCGTGTGATGTTTTTGCCTTTATTTCTCCACCAAAGTCAAAAGTGTGACACAATTGTCAGGGGAATAGGTTGGGGTAAAGGTTTGTTTGATTCGCTACCCTTTAAAGCTTGGCGCTTCGAAAACAGTAAGAAGCTCGATATTAAAAAGAGAAAAGTCATTACATGAGAATGTTATCAAGTAAAATTTAGCATTGTCACAATACAAGTGCTTCGATTGAATCAAATAAGTCTGCACTTTTGGTCAAAACTATCGACAGAAATATTTATATATCGTTTATAAGATTTTTTCGTTTATATTTAAAGACCAGGCCTGTTATTTTCCAGTTGGTCTGCAATTAATATGCACATTTTAGGAAATTTATAAGTGTGTTGAGAATTTAAGTCCTCTTAAGCGCATACAATGATGAAATATACCATAGTGTTCCAAGCCAACAAAACAACATTTTTGTTGTTGGCAACAGACAAGCTTTCAATATATGTGTTCGTGTATATTAAGGAAAATATATTAAATTTAAACTGTTCAGAAAAAAAATCTCAGCAATAATTTTTGCAGTCAGTCAATTTCCGCCAGACTTTTAGCAGCCATCGTTTATTCCTTGAAACTTTCTCCGCCAAAGTATGTATGCATTATCAAACACAAGCCCCTTCTACCGAAAGGGGGTGAGAGATGATGGAATAATTTTCTACAGTTACTGGTCACAATAAGGGCGTGCAATCACACACACACACACACATATTTCAATTGTAAGGAATATATGGCGAGTTGTTTGTCTATATATGTAAATGTCTATATTTATGGCAGAATATGATTAGAGCCTGTCATGTTTGTAAATATTTGTGACAGCGTAAAAGGAAGCAGTGAAGTAGAAATTAAAGGGGGAGCGAATACAAAATTCAAATAAAAGGTAGTCATCAAATTCGTTCTTATGCCCAGTGAGTAACATTGTTTATGGTTGAAAGTATTTTAGTTGAACGCATTATGGCATACCATCGAACCATTTTTCTATAATAATATAAAGACGCAATTATTATAGTCAAAATTAATGAAAAATTATTAAATAAGATGATATTGTTTGTATTATTGAATTGTTTTGTTCACAAAAGCACTACAAATAACTTTGTAGCTGAAACCTAGCCTACAAATATGAGTAAAAAGAAGAGAAAAGAATATGCATTTTTTCGAAAAAGATCGTGCTAGACTGTGCGAATAGTCTTGAAATATATTCCTCCTGGAAGCACGTTGACACGTTGTCATATTATCTACTTCAGTAGGTTTTGGTGCTTTAACTGATATATAGCATGTTTATCGAAATGAAACTCAAGTATCCTATACCGCTTATAGAACTCCATTGCAATGCCTGGCTGTTTGGCTGCAATGCTAATCCTCCGTATTTCCCTTTCGCGCAGAACATCAAGCTTCAGGAAATATAAAGGCAAAAAAAATAATATTCACCATTGTTGGGTATATTTCAAAATGTGGTGCGGCACGTATAATAATTGAGTATCGATTTTTAATCAGCTTGGTACGACGGCAGAACTTATTTGAAGACGACTCATAAAATGTATACATGATTGTGTATACGTGCTTACCCGGTAGAGATGGTCGAACATCTCTGATGGATTGATTATTCAGAAATAAACCAATTCAGTCGTTTTTTACGAGTTCTTGGTAGCTTAAACTATCTAGTTTTCAGGATGCTGTACCAACTATATCAGCAATGACAGTCGTAATTTGAAAACTGAGCTAGTATTATTTTTTATAGTATATTCATGTAACCAGTGGGAGTTTTTATGTATTATGTTGCGACTGGCGCTGTTTTTGTTTCCCGTTTACCCCAACCATAGTCTAACTTCCGGCAGTCGGTTACATTGGCACCCCATGAGAATTATTGAATTTTACAGCTGATTAACTTGGCATACTCGTATATGGTTGAATATCTGCTCAGCATAAAACCCACAAATGCTAATCATGCATCCCCTTCCCCCCTTCCTTCTTTATAACTCATTGGCCTATGCTTTGTTGTGTTTTTAGTTAAATGTACTTCACACATAGAAATTTCCTAGGTCACATAAAGCAGCAATATAGAACAGTCCTGGAATATAAATATTTCTAGTATTTTTATATGTGCATAGCAGCAAACTGCTCCCTCATAAACGCCATAACGGCGGTTTTTGAGTTTAGAGATGGAGGCATAGACACTTTGTGTTTGAAATCTATTTTTAGAGACAAGATACGCTTCTGTTTTCCTCTTTCCTCTAAACTGAGTGCCATTATCTATCTGCACAAAGGAGGAATTGATCAGCTCTGCCTATATTCGAAGGTGAGTATGTATGGTTATAGATATTAACTTTGTAGTAGTGGGAGTATATTCTGTCTCGTATTAGTTAGCCTTTTAAATTTTCGAGCGTGTGTACGCTTGTTGCCACTTTTCCTCATTTAAGTGTGTCTATGCAAGTGCACACCCACTGTCCATTTCACACTGCCCACCAGCACTTGTTGCTAGTTGGTGCTTCATTGTGTGAAATAAATCGATTATTCGTCCTTTTTACTTTTTTTGCTTGGGCACATGCCTTTGTACTTGCGCATGCAACAGATGTGGCTTGTGTTACTTTTTTAGGACACTCCTGTTCAATGTTCAATAATATTGATATAGGTAACTATACATACATATGTATATACTTTGCTTACTATTTAGTAATTTTCATATTGACACATCCTTTCGCTGTGAAGTATAGCTCCAAATAGTACCCGCAGAAAGCCCCCACAAGAAACTAATGATAGGTTCACCAATACAGTGATACAAATACCGTCACTGTTTGTTAATAAGAGACTCTTACGATTTATATTGCTTACTATAGCTTTACATATGTAAGGGTGAAATCGCTGCATTCTTTAGTACTGTCACCACTGACAGACAAATGAACAGTAAAATGACCGTCAATGTTTACAATTTTTCCTGAAGCTAATTCTGTATACGTCGAAAAGAGACAGCATACATTTCCACAGAAGTTTCGAGAAGTTGTGAAATACCTATGTTGCTGTTATTCCGTGCGATAAGCCATCTTTTTGTGTTAAAAATATAAATAAATAACGATGGAGATTTCAAATATAATATACGTAAGCTTTTATTAAGTTTCAAATAAAATTTTCAGCTTTTATGGATTTATGATCAGCAATGACTTAGGAAAAGCCATGAGACTGATCATTATAGATTTGTATATAGTGAATCAATTCCGAATACCCATGTTTTTGTACAAGGCTGATAGAAACTTTGTTCTGTGTACTGACAAAAGTTTTTCAATTGTGACTGTCATATTACCGGGCAGATGACTGTCACTCTTCATTTAAAGCAGTTAGTGTATATACGATATGTATATGTGTGTGTGTAACCGCGCAAATAGCAACAAGAGTCTGATTCATTTTATTTATTTGGTGTGCTAATAGGAATGTTTGGCACATTTATGGTTGTGGCGGCAGGACGTTTATCTCTCCAAATTATAGAGTTACCAATACAATCGTAACTTGCATCCTAAGGAAAATGCTTAAGCAAGGTAGAGTTAGCGTTAAGTGAAAACGAGAGGAGAAAATTTAACATAAAATATGAATAAAAGTTAAAACAATATTCAGATAAAATATCAGAGTTCCTGCTTGTTTTCTAATATAAGATTTTTTCCAAATTTATGTAGTTTATGCTTAGTTATAGAGCTTTCGAAAACGCTTACTGCCTTTCAAGACACTGTGATATATAGATTTATATTATTTCGTCGCAAGCGCGTGCTTTGTTTTTATAGGAAAATTGTAAAAAATTCCCACTAGGTAAAAATATTTACCTTACATTACACCAGGAAGTAGAGATTTGGAGTAGTTATGAAAGTAATTTTTTGCAGACATTAAATGACCAGTGTCGTGTCAGAACTTTTGTAGGATGCATCTTCTGCACCGCTCCATTTCACTAGCACATCTGCGCATGTATAATATGCGTCTAACCTTTACCTGTGGGCATTCATTGTTACATTGCATGTGTGTAGGAGCAATCTGACATTGACAGTCACTTGTTAGATTAAAGTTGGGTTTTCCTGAGAAGTGCTGCGAACATTATATTTTTCATTTCCTAGCCATAGTTTATTGTTAACTCAAATATGTAAACTTTTCAATGACATTCATAGAAAACAGACATTTTTAATTAAACACCTTCAGTGGTTTAACAAGAAACTTACCGAACTTAACGAATATTTTTTACCCTGTATGTATTTTTGTTTCTGTGTCTCAACTCAATGGGAGGAATAGTTTGTAGAGTAGATGAACATAAAGGGTCTATAAACAAGAACGACGTGCTTTTTTAAAAAAAAAAAACACTCAAATTTGGTCAGAATGGGTTCTTATCTTATTATGAAGATAATTTTATGTTATTTATGATGTGAACAAAATGTCGGCGCCGCTTACATATCTCCACTCGTTTACGCCAATTTCCGATGACTCGGTGCAGCATTTCGGCTATAATGTGCTGAATGTTGCCTTCGTGCTCCTTGAAAGTGGCTGGTTGATTGGCGTAAACGTTTAATCTAACATACCCCCAGAGAAAATAATATAGAGGCGTTAAGTCGC